TTCTTTAAATAGCAAGCTCCCTTAGTGCACTGAAGAATCTGACTCAATTTGCAAAAATGTGATTGACACTTGGCATTTTGGTACCATCTTGATTGGGCAGAGAACTACCTGCCATTAGACAATGCAAGCTGAGCAGCTGGTTTAATCACGGCTTTTAATGAGCACCTACTACATGTCATGTATGCTCATAGGAGAGAGAGAGAATAGAACTAAGAGCTAAGGGTTATCTGCACCCAGAAGGCATTAGAGGCTCACTGGGACCATGAGACACATGTGCAGCCACCACCACATGGAATTGCCTTGAGGCCCAGGGCCCAGGGAAGACTGGGGGCTGGAGGAGCCAGGAAGGTGATATGAGGCAGAGCCCAGCTGGCACCAGAAGGCAGACAGGGCGTATATGATGACCTAGTGTCTAAGAGATAAAACAAGTGTAAATCTGGAAAGACCAGGTCAATAGGATATTGGAAAGACTCAAAAATTATGTAGTTATGCTTTATTTATCCCTGAGCCCCCACTTCTTAATCCTCAGCCTTACTTACAGTAAGCGTCAATTAAGGTGTGTTCTCAGGCCCATCAAAAGAGGGAGGCTGAAGCAAAACCAGGGTGCGTTTCTCATCAGTTTGTGGCAGCAGACAGCAGCTGTTAACTTCTCAAAAACCATATTAAAGCAGATTCCTCTGTACTTTTCCAGCTTCATTTTTGGTAAGGCCCACTTAGAGAACAGAGAAAGTGAGACTTGCTCTTTAGGAAAGAAGCAGCAAGGCTGTGTTCTGGAAGTTAATGGGGTTCTGAGCTCTCCAAAGTACACAGGATTCAAGTTCAGTGTCTAATTGGACTTTTGACTAGATTCCTCCTTTGTAGCCTTCTTGTGCTCCCTCTCCCCCAGACAGGTCTCATGTGCTGCTTTGCCTCTGATGCCACTCACCCATGATTTCCTGTTCCCATCAGACAGACTGTGAGCTTTTATTTCCAGGTGCTAATGGGATCAGCCTTGGGGAGCCTAGGTCAGTGTCCCAAACCTTTCTTGATTAAAAAAATACCTATTTTTACAAAAGTAATTGAGTATTTCCATGTATATATTTAGGTATAGATTATGTGCATATATTACTGTAGTAGTTGACTGAGAAAACCCAAAAGAAGCTTCTAAACATTTGTTATTAGGTTTAGTGGATACTCCAGTCCACTAAGTGTCCTCACACTTTAGGAACATATAAGATTGAGTATTATATGACTTCAGACATTGGTAGAAAGTGAAGGCATTTGTCTTCATGGCTCAGGTGCATTCTTTTAAATATCTTGCAATCCCAGTAGTTCAATTAGGTTATATACACCTATATCAGTGGTGGAAAACACCCTGTATTATAAATTGTCTTGATAATTTAGGTTTTGGTCATCTTTCTGGAAGACCTGGTTGGCCTGTCCTTGTGTTCCCCTCCCAATGTAGCTGGCCAAGAGCTCACACCAGAAGCTGTAAGTGGTAGCTCCGCCATTTCCATGTTTCCTTGGTCACATGTTGAGTATTGTCTACAACCCCTACTTTTTTTTTTTTCAACCCTACTTTTTTTTTCTTAAAGATTTTATTTATTTATTCACGAGAGACAGAGAGAGAGAGAGAGAGAGAGAGAGAGAGAGAGAGAGAGAGGCAGAGACACAGGCAGAGGGAGAAGCAGGCTCCATGCAGGGAGCCCGTTTGTGGGACTCGATCCTGGGTCTCCAGGATCATGCCCTGGGCTGAAGGTGGCACTAAACCGCTGAGCCACCCAGGCTGCCCCAACAACCCCTACTTTCTTAACACAAATCTTTTCAAGCCTTTCATCCATTTAGTGAGGGGTAATAGCCACAAAGAGGCTCTATCAGGAGGCATTACAGAGCTGAAAGCTGGCTCTGGCTCTAGCCACCATTCTTGTCGAGGAGCACCACTGTCCCTCAGGCTGCTTCCTGTCCTCAGAGCAACCTTGATTGCCGGACCTAGAGGCTGGGTGAAGGAACCAGTGTCATTTTGCAAATAGAATATTAGGGAAGTTGAATTTTTATCTTTTTAAAATTAAAATAAAATGAATTGACGTTCTAGTTTTTTTTTCATGATATCAACTAATCCCTGAAGTGAGTCCATCACACTTTGGAGAGTGCTGGCTCAGAAAATGATCTTAACTGCTTTGCTGAGCTTCAGGTTCTTTTTTTTTTTCTGTTTTATTTTTTTTAATTTTTTTTTAAAATTTATTTATTTATGATAGTCACAGAGAGAGAGAGAGAGAGGCAGAGACACAGGCAGAGGGAAAAGCAGGCTCCATGCACTGGGAGCCCGATATGGGATTCGATCCCGGGTCTCCAGGATCGCACCCTGGGCCAAAGGCAGGCACCAAACCGCTGCGCCACTCAGGGATCCCTCAGGTTCTTTAATTGGGAAGAAGAACATCATAATATTGTGAGGATTAAATGAGATAATGCAGGAAAATGTCAGGCACAGGAACAATGTTTTTTTTTCCCATTCATGTATTTATTCCACAATCAAAATAAATCATAATTTAAGCCATAACATTGGGATCCCTGGGTGGCGCAGCGGTTTGGCGCCTGCCTTTGGCCCAGGGCGCGATTCTGGAGACCCCGGATCGAATCCCACGTTGGGCTCCCGGTGCATGGAGCCTGCTTCTCCCTCTGCCTATGTCTCTGCCTCTTTCTCTCTCTCTCTGTGTGACTATCATAAAATAAATAAAAATTAAAAAAAATTAAAGCCATAACATTTTGAAAAGGTAAAGGAGACTTTGTGTCACAGTTGCATTAATAAAACACACTGGCCTAAAGTGCAACACTAAACACGTGTTTTCTGTTCCCGAGGTGGAATAAATACGTAACAATTATACATAAAATTTCACTAAAGATCAGAGATGAGGCAAATAACCCTTGGAAAGAAACTCTCCAATGAATAGAGGCGGATTGCACATAATTTTCCAATAGCAGAGCTTCAATTAGATCCCTGTCTAGATCATTTAAAGAAAGTTATTTTTTAATGGACCTGGTTTTGATCATCATGATGGCTCATTTTAACTGCTGGGGAGCAGAACATAATACAAGAAGATAGGAGTGTTTCTGCCTTTGTACTCATCAGGAATCACGAAAAATCTGAAGAGGCCACTTGGTTTCTGTTCTTATGCGCCTTCTTTTTGTTTATAAGTGATGAGAAGGGGGTGGGGGCAGCCCGGTGGCTCAGTGGTTTAGCACTGCCTTCAGCCCAGGGCCTGATCCTGGAGTCCTGGGATCGAGTCAGGCTCCCTGCATGGAGCCTGCTTCTCTCTCTGCCTCTCTCTCTCTCTCTCTCTCTCTCTCTCTCTCTGTCTCTATAAATGAATAAATAAAATATTTTTTAAAAAATAAGTAAGTGATGAGAAGGGTTTACAACTCAACTTCATCCTGGGCACATTCATGACAGCAGTCAGCCAGCTAATTTTGAAATGAAGAAATGATTCAGGCAAGGAAATTTCACTTTGGGTTGCTTATGAACTGTCTGTGTTAGCTGACTTGAACGGATGGGGTGAGCATGCCAGTCTGGATGGCCAGATGATCCTGAAGCACTTTGGGAATTCATCTCTAATGAATATGCAAACCCATTTGACACGGAGCCCACTTACCTACCAATCTCTTTTCTGGAAACCTACCCCAGTGGACTGAAATTTCAAAAGTCATTTTATGGTTTTTTTTTTGGTCTCCTACTAAAGAAATCTTCGCCAAACCCAAGATTACTAAGGTTCTATCCTGTGCTTTCTTCTGAAAATTTTATAGTTTTAGCTCTTAGGTCTGTGATCCATTTTTAGTTCATTTTTGTATGTGTGCTTCCTGTAGAGTTCATTTAAAATGTTTCCTATTCCATTTCTGTAATCCCCAAATTGCTAATTCACCACTTGAGGTTTCACCTAATTTTTGCTACCTTTGTATTGATTCATTTGCCATTCATTCATTCATATTGACCTGGGAATATAGAGGGAAAAGGACAGGAAGTTTATTGGTTGAAGTGGGTGTGAAGCGAGACCAAGGTGTAGATGAATTGTGTAATCCATATATGGATAAATTAACGTGCTTGCTCAGGATCGCTTAGCTCTGCTTACTTGCATCTGTACTTTGTCAACAAGGAGACCCATATGTGTCATCTGTTGCCTCCACCTATGATCACGTATAAAAAAATCACCCCAGATTGGGAGAACACTTTAAAATGGTATTGCTGCCTGAGGGACGCCTGGGTGGCTCTGTCAGTTAAGTGTCTGCCTTTGGCTCAGGTCCTGATCCCAGGGTTCTGGGATCAAGCCCTCCATGTAGGGAGTCTTCTGGAGATTCCCTCTCCCTCTGCCCCTCCCCGCTGTTTGTGCACTCAACTTTCTCTCTCTCTCTCAAATAAAGTCTTAAGAAAAAAAAAGGGGATGTTGCTGCCCAAGAAGCCCTCTGTTGAGAAGGCAGTTGTGCCCACAGATGTAAGCAGCCTGAGACATCGCTTTGGCCAGCAGGGCCCTCAGTGTCAGCTGTCTTTACGCATGTTGTGGCTGAGAGGGGCATCAGTCTGTGGAGCGGGAGTTATTATCACCCACATTTTGCATGCCTGAGGCCCAGGGAAGTTAACATCGCACAGTTCGTCTGGGCAAGGGTGGGGACACTGACGTACCCAACTTGTGTCTGTTACTTGCCTTCTCTGTGCTTGGGGAAATGACGCTGCCCTCCCTCTGGGAGTGCAGATGTTGTTGGCCTGCTGTCACTGTGTGATTTCCCCTCCAAAGCTCCTGCTGGCCCGAGGTCTGTGGGCCACTCGGCCTGACCACGGACTTGTGCTTTGTGGTTTCTGTGCAACAGGCCTCAGGTTAACCAAATCAGGTTGCTGTGTGGGGGCCCTGTTATTTGAGGTATTGGTAGAGGGGACCTTCCTTTAATATGATGGCTACTCTTCCAGGGCTGCTGGGCCTCAGACTTCTGCAACATTCGATCTAAAGTGCTCTTGTTTCTGTCCCTCTTCCTTCCAGTGGAGGCCATAGTGGAGTTTGACTACCAGGCCCAGCACGACGATGAGCTGACTATCAGCGTGGGTGAGATCATCACCAACATCAGGAAGGAGGATGGAGGCTGGTGGGAGGGACAGATCAACGGCAGAAGAGGTTTGTTCCCTGACAACTTTGTAAGAGTGAGTACAACGTGAAACCCTTTTCCTGTCACCCATGTGGGTTCTCCTGACCAAAGCTGTGGGGGCACTTGAGGAATTTCCTGGGCTCTCTTAGGGGATGTGTTGATGGTTTGACCTCTTGTGTACTGTCAAGAAGAGCACATAGAGCCTTGTGCTAGATATCTAGAGACCCATTTTGAACTCACTTTCTTAAGGCCCAGAATGTTCTGTTTTTAAACTGTGTCACTGGGGGCATCAGGGTGGCTCAGTGGTTGAGCATCTGCCTTTGACTCAGGTTGTGATCCTGGGGTCCTGGGATCGAGTCCCACATTGGGCTCCCCGCAAGGAGCCTGCTTCCCCCTCTGCCTAAGTCTCTGCCTCTCTCTGTGTCTCTCATGAATAAATAAATAAAATCTAAAAAAAATAAACTAAGTCACTTAGAAAATGCTGAAAAAATATATTTATATTTTATTTATTTATATTTTATTAAATTATTAAATGATGTTTGTTTATGTACTTGTTCACTGGCTTTGATGTTTTAAAAGAACTTTATTCTTTTCCATTCCATTCAGAATGAGGTGAAAGTAGTTTTGACTATTTCAGTCAAGTAGCCATCAAACTAAATGTAGAATTCTGATTATGCTACGTTTTCAACCTTTGTATTGATACCGCTTTTTTGATAGGAACTGTATTATTTTCTTTTCCCCTTTATGGCCATGAAGCATTGAATAAAATCTACTTTTTCAGTAAAGTTTTGAATATTATGCCCTTTGCAGAAGTCATCTAGGGGTTTAATTACAAAAATGTAGCTCATTCATGTTAAGAAATAACATACTGCACAGTTGTACATAATAGTTGGAATGGGGTGAAAAAAAGGGCGGGCCACCTTGAGGCTATTCACTGTGGGAAATGCCAAGTAGATCTACACATTTTTTGTACCATAAACTTCCTATCTAATGCTGGGGAGGACTGGATTGTTCTCAGTAGGAAGGGCTGTGTGCAGAAGTCCCCAGGGCCTCTACTGTCATCTCAGCGGGTAGCGGACCATGCCGCAGACGTGCGGCTGTGGGGAGCAGGTGGTGCCAGCAATGCTGCGCCGAGAAAAGCAGGTGCCCTGGTCAGAGAGCCTTGAGGGCTATGTGGGAGGGTTTTGTGAAAAGAGATTGATGATGAAAAACAGTATCCAGCCCCTGGGTCCTCTACCTGTACCCTGCCCCCCAGTCTAGAACAGAGAGGATCTCGGCTCAGTCTTTCCTCAGGATCCTGCTAACATTTCTTTTGTTCAATTGTTTTTGTTGTGCTGAAGGCGGGGGGAAGTTTTGTGGGTAACATGCTGACAAACTTGCTTTCTGTAAGGAGTTGTGGGAGTACAGACTTTTTTTTTCTCGGACTACAGTTGAACCTAGCAGCTCTCTCTCCTTTTAAGAGTAGGAATGCATTATATCTGGGCTACCACAGACTGACTCTACTGTATTGATGTGTAAATGGGGGTGAAATATTTGGCCCTTCCAAACAAAACTCCCAGTCTGAGGACAAGGACCGTCCTTGAAATTGACCCAATTGTGGTGTGGAAGGAGGATCTTTCCAGAAAAAAGGGGCAAAGTTTTGTGTGAAGATGGAGGAGAAAGGAATGAGAGAGGAGGACCATGGGAAAGAGAAAGGAAGATCTGGGAAAGAGAGAAGAGGACCCTTGGAAGGAGGTGAGGACTGTGGGAAAGAGAGAGGAGGATTCTGGGAAGGAGGTGAAGACTGTAGAAAGGGAAAGGAAGACTCTGGGAAGGAAGGGAGGACATCCCTGGGAAGAAGTGACAACGGTGTTGGCACCAGTTTTGAGGGGAGGCCAATTTTGAAAGCCTTATTTTGATGTCCTATAGGCTCAGTGCCCCTCATCCCAAACCACAAATCCATAGACTCCGAGAACTTCTGAGTTGGACTTTGCTCAGGGCTTAAGGCTGGGCAGCCACATAAGCATTTGTGGGGGCTGGGGGCACCAGGATGGGGAGGCAGAGAGGGGCAAGAGCCTATCCTCCTTGCTCAGGGAGCGCTGGGGAGCAGGAGCTCCTCACTGAACCTGGGGCTGCAGGGGCATTTCTCCACCCTTCTCCACCTGCTGGGCTGGGGCCACCCCAGCAGGCTCCTGCCCTCTGCCTTCATGGGCTTTGGCTCAAGGGAAGTGCTGGCGGGAGATGGCAGTGGGGAGGGAGGGAGGCCAGCCAGCCAGGTGGGGGATTATCCTACTGGCTGGGGCCTCCTCGGATTGTCTGCCAGCCGGTGGCTGCTCCTAAGTCCCCTGCCTCCATACTCCTTTGTCTCCATCCCCTGTTTCTAGCCCCACCTCCTGCCTCTGCCGTAACTCACCCACTTTGTCCCGCCTCAGATTACCTAATTCGGGTGTGCCATCTGTTTGCTTTTTGGAGCCCAACTACCTCATCTGGCCACTCTGAGGATTAGAGGAGGCAGGACTCAGCACGTGGCTGGCCACCTACAGCGTGTGCCACTGTCCCATGTCACCCTGGCCCGAGGGCCTAATCACTTGTCCTCTCACCTCGGCTAGAGCGCTTCCAGTGTGGAAAGTCACACTCTCAGGAGGTGCTTGTTCCAATGGAGCCAGAAAGGATGTGGCAGGAACGGTTGGGGCTGCACCACTTGTGGCTGTCACATTTGGCAGAAAAAGGAACTTCTATTCTTTCAGATGGCTGAGTCTATTTTCAAGTCTTCACCCACTGGGAATGTTTTAGGCCTATTATTGAAAATCTAGTAGGTGGATGCAGTGGAGTTTAACAATAACGTGAACTGCCGTAGAGGGTTCTAGAAGCTGAAAATACATCTTTAGGTAATAACAATCATATTGGCATAAGTTTGTAGTTTTGAGAGTGGGTTCACATATGCTTTATTTAGCCTAAGAATAATTTGTCCCTGGATTGAATTGGGTAGTCTTGTGGAATCCCATTGTTTATTTGTGTGCTTCTGTGCCAGTCTTAGCACCGTCAGAGAGCTTACCTTAAGCATTTTCTTGATTCATTTATCAGATTCATCGGTGTCCCTATGGAGCATGGTGCCCCAACACGTTGGGATTCAGTATGCACCCTCAACTCTGTATTGTCACAGTTTCTCGAAAGAAAAATACCAGCCATTCCAATCACCCCCTTGTTAGGAAGGTGCCTGGGCTTTGCCAGCTCTTGAGCTGAGATTTGTTGGCAGGCAAAAATGTACCCAAGTCGGGTACAGTCATGGCCTTTTGGGTTTATCCTCCTTTTTCTTTTCTTGACTTAGTTCTTATTTATTTACTGTACACGTGGAAGAAGAATCCTTTAAAATACCCCTTTCCTTTCTTTCCTCTACCTCCTTTTTTTACCTCCTTTTTTAGAATCCATTTCTCTCTCTCTTGCTCTCTCCTTTTTAAAAAATTTATTCACTTCTAGGTGAAATTTACATAGAGCAAAATGCTGAAGTCAGAACTGTATGTCTTGATGATTCTCTTTATATAAGTATGCACCTCTGTAACTGTCATCCAGATCAATCCTATTTCTCTCCCACCAGTAGGTACCATCATGCCTTTTCCCAGTCATACCCTTTCCCATAGGTAATCTATCATTATAGATGAGGCTTGCTTGTATTTGAATTTCATATAAATGGAATCATAAGGTATGTGTTCTTTTATGTATGGCTCCTTTTGCACAATAAAAATGTTATTACATATGTCAGTACTTTGTTCTTGCTGTATAGTATCCCATTTTATGAATATGCCAGAATTTGTTTATCTGTTCTCCTGTTGACAGACATTCGGGTTATTTCCAGTTTGGATGTTTTATGAATAAACGCTCTGAACATTCTTGTGTAAGTCTTCTTATAGACCTAGGCCTTGTTTCTCTTCTGTATTTACTCGTGGGAGTGGCATTGCTGCTTACTCACTTTCAGATGTATATACTTTTTTTCCGTTTCAAGCTGTGGCCTCTTTGGATGGGTAGGTGGTATCATGCTTGTGCTGGAGGCTTCTTTGTGCCACACTAGCCAGCTGAGCTAATCACCCTGAATCTGGTTATCTTCTTGTAACTGCCCTATTAGTATGACTGCTGAGGAGTCCCAAGGCCCAGAAGTCACTCTCCCAGAGACTATTTGATTGTTGGACCCAAGAAGTATCAAAGACTAATTCTTAAGTTGTTAAAAACATGCAAATAGAGAAAGTTCTACTGTGTCAAAGTTTACAGGACTCATTTAATGAAAGAACTAGCAGAATCACAAAACGGATTCAGTGAGGATATGGAGAACAAATGAAAAAGTCAGCAGAGAAAGGAATGTTCAAATAAGATTGCTAAGTTACGTTCAAAACAGGTTTGTGTTTTAGAGAACAATACAGTCTTAACCTCTGGGGCTATCATCTCTACCAGAAAAGGAAAAAAGAAAGGAGCACACCTTATCATTTTTCTATATGTTATCCCCTGACTTTTATAGGACTGTAAAATGTCCTAATAAAGTATTAGTTAAGTTACATTTCCAGAGAGAATCAGATGATCCTGCTGGGGGTGGGGCTTATAGAAAATATATCAGCATGACATTAAAAGATCACACCATCATCCTTTGTCGCCTAATTTTTAAGTTTTGGATGTTAAAATGGACAATAGACCACAATAGACCATAATTTGGGGTGCGATAGTAGGAGGTACTAAGATGAAATCCTCAAAGTCATTTATTAAAAAAAAAAACAAACAAACCCAAACAGCTGCCCTTCTGGGATCCGAAACTGCCACATAGAACAGAAACATAGCCACCTATTAAAGGCAGGTATGGGCTTTTTCATAGAAGTCCATCTTCCCCATGTTGGATTTAATTACCAGGGTCTTTCTTTCAGAACGTTAGCCCCAGATCCAGACAGTAGGGTATTTTAGTCCAGCAAAGGATTTCTAAGCCGCATTTTTTCTGGGTTCTCCTGACATGTATCCACAGATACACATTTTTTAATGGCCAGCCAGAGGAATTTGAAAAAGAAAAAACCTTGAAACTTTAGCTTGGGCCCATGGGCA